TGAAGTCGGACGCTTAACCGACTGCGCCACCCAGGCGCCCCTCTACTTTTTTTTTAAAGTTACAAAGGAAAACATTGGAATGATATCTCCAAATGTGGTCAAAGATTATTTGAAGCTAATGAAATCACAAGTGACATATTCTCTATTTTCCAAAGCCTGTAAGTGAACGAGCGCACAACTATAGTAAGGAGAAAAGATATAAACACAGGGCAGGGTGAGGGGAGACCACTTTCAGATATAGAGCATGGTAGACGAAGGCTGGAGAGAGGAAGGAGGAAATTCAAGAGATCCATATTATTCATTTATTAGTGAACATATCTGACTGGATATTGGTGGTGGGGGACTGTTATAATAAAACCAAAGTTTACGACTTGGGCAGCTGGCAGATAATGGTGTCAGTGAGTGAGAGAAAAATCAGAAGGTGGATGTATCTATGTGTGAAGATTTAGAGTAGGTTCCGTTTTTATACATACGAATTTGCTGTCTCTGAAACATCCAAATACAATTCTGTAGGCAGTACAATTTAAAATATGATTCTAGATACAGGAGGAAGATGTGGGAGGAGAAAAGAGATTTGGGAATTGCCCCTGAGTAGATGATAGAAGACGTGGCTGTAGATGAAATTGACCAAGAAGAACGTACCAAGTGAAGAGAAGAGAGGCACATGTAAATTTTTGAGGCATGCCACCATGTGAATTTGGGGTGCAGGAAGAGGATTCTGTAAAGGAGACAGATCAGGGACTGTCAGAAAAGTAAGAGACACAGAAGAGGGTGGCGTCACTGGACAACAGGAGCTTCAGCCAGCTGTAGCCAGTGCTGAGACACAAGATAAGAACTGGTAAGAGGGCACCTGGGTGGCTCTGTGGGTTAAGCTCCTGACTCTGGATTTCATCTCAGGTCATGCTTTCACAGTTTGTGGGATCGAGGCCCGAGTCAGGCTCTGAACTGACAGCATGGATCATGCTTGGGATTCCCTCTCTCTCTCTCCCTAAATAAGTAAATAAATTAGGGGGGAAAAAAAAAAAAAGAACTGGTGTGCCTGGGTGGCTCAGTCAGTTAAGCATCCAACTTCAGCTCAGGTCAGGATCTCATGGTGAGAGCGTTGGGCTCTGCACTGACAGCAAGGAGCCTGCTTGGGATTCTCTCCTTCTCTCTGCCCCTCCCCCACTCCTTTCTCCCTCCCTCCCTCCCTCTCTCTCTCTCAAAATAAATTAAAAAACATTTTTTAAAATCTTCAAAACAAATTTAACAGATAGGTCACAAGAATATTTTAACGTCAACATGCTAAATTCTCAGTATAGAACACAGAATTATTGCTTATGATGGATAGTCTGCAAAACTTTAAGTTCTAGATGGTCGGTCTTTCTTTGTTTTTTTAATGATATCTCTGGACTACTTTCACTCTACGTGTTATAAATTCAGAAAAATACAGTTCCTAAACCAAAAATTGTAGAGGCTTACATACGTGCTACTATCAAAATAACTGGTCAAGGGAAAATAGAAATTGTCTTCCCTTAATATAATCTATTGAAAGGTGCTTTATGAAATCTAGCTATTCTATGAGGTCTGAGAATTCTTGCAGAATCCTCTCTGTCTGCACTGAACAGTGTAAGTAGGACTTTTTTTTCTAAGATACAGCACCAAGGGCCATATACAATTTTTATCTGTGTCCCCACCACCACACTCCCCAAAACTGAGAAGCAAAAAACTAACAAAACCCACCAAAACAAAACAAAAAAAAACCCTGCAGAAATCATAATACATTTTAAGACATGTCTTCAACTTTATTAAAAGCATGTAACATCTGGTCCAAATCCTCATTTTACTGGTGAAGAAATACACCACGATGGTTGTAACTTGTCTGAGTCTCCAGAGTTATAGGCAGAGCTGAGATTATAGTCAGAGGCTGGTCCTCCTGCCTGCTGGTCCAGAATGGTTGTTAAAAGTCATCACAATAACATACCCAAAAGCCACTATCTTTTAAAAATAATTTATTGATAGGGCGCCTGGGTGGCTCAGTCGGTTAAGCGTCCGACTTCAGCTCAGGTCACGATCTCGCGGTCTGTGAGTTCGAGCCCCGCGTCGGGCTCTGGGCTGATGGCTCAGAGCCTGGAGCCTGTTTCCGATTCTGTGTCTCCCTCTCTCTCTGCCCCTCCCCCGTTAATGCTCTGTCTCTCTCTGTCTCAAAAATAAATAAAGGTTAAAAAAAAAATTAAAAAAATAAAAATAATTTATTGTTAAACAGAGAGACTTTTTTTTAATGTTTATTTATTTTTGAGAGAAACAGAGCGTGAGCAGGAGAGGGGTCGACAGAGAGGGAGACACAGAATCCAAAGCGGGCTCCAGGCTCCAGGCTGTCAGCACAGGCCCGACGTGGGGCTTGAACCCATGAACTGTGAGATCGTGACCTGAGCTGAAGTGGGACACTTAACCGACTGAGCCACCCAGGTGCCACTCTTTGTAACACATTTTTAAAGTATTTCATTTTGAAGTACTGGGCATGCTATTAACTTACAGCACTGACTCTCCATTAGCAAGAAATGACAGTTTGTTCCAGTTTCACTCAGCATTTCACCTTGTTCTTTCTCCCCAGACTGTCAAGCAAGCTGTACGCATGGTGATCAAATGAGCTTTGTGGACATCTCCTCTCAGTGACCAGCAGGGCTGGGTGAATCTCAAATTGTAACTGATAGGGACTCTAGGTATTACACATGCCAAAATAACATTGGAAGGACAGCCCTGGCAGATGTCAGAACCCAGTATTTTTCATTTTGTCCGTTCTGAAAAAAGGTCTCTTGGAATCGTATTAGCCTGAGACTAACACTTAGTAGAGATACATAAACAAGACCCTGAATTCCAGCTGACCAAGAAGTAGACTGAGGTCCATGAGATGAAAAAACTCACATTTGACAATGTCCATATGATATTCTTTATATTGTTCAGTTGCAGATCTAAGGGAGAGGATTATAATTTCAGTTGCTGACCAAAAAAAAGCTGACCTTGTATTAAAAAAAAAAGACAAAAAAACCTTTTGAAGTCCTGATGAAATTTTTCTCTGGATTTCTCCCAAAGCTGTGGGGGAGAGACTTATCCTGAGGACTGGTAGATTACACTGAAGATGGTGAACTGACTATTTAGGGCAAACTCTGTCTTTTGTTGTTGTTAATATTCATCAGTAAGCCCCGGGAAAGCCAGCCCCTGATGACAGCTATATGTAAAGAAGCTGTTGAGGCTAATGCTGATGTTTCAGAATACTTCTTTTCATGGTAGGAGGTGTCTCTGATTTCCATGATTTGCTTGATCACGCTTAGCCTGCTAACCTAGCAATACTTCTGTCACACGTTATACTTTTACACATGCTTCATCCTATCTTCCCTCATCTGATCAAACAATGGGTAAAGAAGGCACAGAGGTGAGAAGGAAACCAAAATAGTTATCACCTGCCAGAATTTAAACATTGATCAGTTCCAGGACTGGAATCTTGATCCTCTGGTTCTAATTTAGTCCTTGTAATTTCTAGCCAAGGATAACATGGCATTTACATTCCAAAACAGTATCATCTTCGAGCAAATATCCAAACTTTGAGAAAGTCTACTGCCTGGTTTTAAAAAGTGATTTTTCAGGAGGGACAGATCTGAGGACGATTGGGAGCAAGGGGGACACGGTGAGGACAGTGAAGAGTGGGCTTTGTGGCTTGGCATCAGTGAGCCAGAGGTTCCAGCCCTACCCAGGCACTGAGATGCCCAGGGAGCTCTTGCTGCTGCTTCCTTCAGGCCAAGTGAGCCCCTGAGGACTAACTAAATGACAGCTGCACTGTTAGGATTCCTAGGTTCATTGAGATGGTAGTCACAGCGTGACTGAATAGGTGACACTTTCTACCCCCTCCAAATCATCAAAACAGCTATTTTCTTACAAAGTTCAACTCAAATATTTACTGAGTACTTGCTGTTGTGTACTATTGTATGCAAAGCATGAGGTTGAGGACATAGTGATCAGGAAGAGGGAAAAGAGCCAATTTGGGAGATTTAGGGAAGACTTCCTGGAGGAGAGAGGATTTGAGTTGGACCTTGAAAAATACCTACGCCCTTGGTTCTCAAAATGTGGTCCCTGAATCCGTAGTATCTCTCCCACCAGGAAACTTGTTAGAAATGCAAATTTTTGAGCTCTACTCCAGCTTTATCAAAGCTGAGTGGGAAGCCTAGTATTCTGGTTTAAGAAACCATCCATGTGATTCTGATGCAAATCACGTTTCAGGGCTGGCACTGGAGATCAGAGTGTGGACACACACCAGACCATCCATTGTCACTTCCTCTATTTATCCTGCCCTGCATGCTTTCAACCTGCTTTTAACTGATTATTATCCTTCATACGGTTCCTTTCTCTGATGGTTCCTACTCACTACATTCAGTTCAGATCCCTAATCCCACTATCTTCTCCCACTTAACCACCTATGTTTCAGGCCCTGACGTGTTTCTCCCAAACTCTCAGCTCCCTCCCCGTCTGTTCTCTGACCCCCTGGCTGTCCGTCTTCGTTATCCCCAGCATATCAGTAGTCCTCATTTACCGCTCAGCACTCTGCCTGTGCACGAGATTGCCAGGTGACCCTTCAATCCACATCACTGCCTTCTCTCTTCTTAATCTCTTCCCAAATAACCCTGCCACTGGCTTCCCTGCTCGCCTCTTAATTTCTTCCTTATATCGTCGGTATGATTTGATGGTGCCAAATCTCTGGTTTGTGCATTGTATGTGACTTTTATAACACATTTAGAGCGTTCATGTGTTCTTTCTCAAACTTAGATTAGGACACCTTTGTGTTTGGTTACAGGTGATGAAACCAGCACTAAGAATGAAGTGTTGTCCCAGAAGGAAGATACGCCCAAGGACACACAGTTCCTTGGCGAGGTAAATGACGGACTTAACAAAGACATTCCTCTGCCTCCTGAACCCAGAGATGCTACTGAAAGCAAGGGCAGAGTGGAGTGGCCGCAGAGGGAAAGAAGGCGCTACACGTGTGAGGACTGCGGGAAGAGTTTCAGTCACAGCTCAGACCTCAGCAAACACAGGAGGACTCACACTGGAGAGAAACCCTACAAGTGCGACGAATGTGGGAAGGCCTTCATTCAGCGCTCCCATCTCCTCGGACATCACAGAGTACACACTGGAGTGAAACCTTATAAATGTGAAGAATGCGGGAAAGATTTTAGTGGGCGCACAGGTCTTATTCAGCACCAGAGAATCCACACGGGTGAAAAACCCTATGAATGTGAGGAGTGCGGGAGGCCCTTCCGCGTGAGTTCGGCCCTTATCAGACATCAGAGAATTCATACAGCCAATAAGCTCTACTAAGATGGTGAAGCAACAGTTCTTAGCTCCTCAGGCCTCATTGGTTCCCAGAGAATCCGCCTTAGACACTGAGTAACCTGAATGCAGGCAAAGCTTCAGTCATTAAAACATTTCTCCGGCACCAGAGAATCTACCTGAGAAAGTTTCCTTTTATTTCTAAATTAGTTCAGTCTCTTGGGAAGAGTTAAGAGTTACTTCAGAAAGCCTTGTCTGTTGACATACTGCTGACTTGCAGCCCCAAATAGCCATGTTCTTGGTGGAAAGGCAGCGAATGCTACTTCTCAGCTCTCCTTGTTACTTGACCATTCAGTGTACAACTTTGGGCAAACATTCACTTTCTTTTTTTTTTTTTTTATTATTTTTTTTTTTAATGTTTTTACTTATTTTTGAGACAGAGAGAGACAGAGCATGAACAGGGGAGGGTCAGAGAGAGGGAGACACAGAAGTGGAAACAGGCTCCAGGCTCTGAGCTGTCAGCACAGAGCCCGACGCGGGGCTCGAACTCACGGACCGCGAGATCATGACCTGAGCCGAAGTCGGCCGCTTAACCGACTGCGCCACCCAGGCGCCCCCCACTTTCTTTTCAGTTTATTTACTTTGAGAGAAACAGAGATCCCAAGCAGGTGCACACAAGTGTGAAGGCGCAGAGAGAGAGACTCCCAAGCAGGTTCTGTGCTGTCAGTGCAGAGCCCGACGTAGGACTCGAACTCATGAACCATGAGATCACGACCTGAGCCGGAATCAAGAACCACACACTCAGCCGACTGAGCCTCTCGTGTGCCCCTAAACACTCACGTTTTTCTCTGCCTTCGTTTCCCATTCCATAGCATGCAGATGACACAGCAGAAACCTACCAGATACATTGTGTTAAAGCTGCTTTTGAAATTAACAACTAAAACAATACTATTTGTTTTCCACCACTACTGCTAGAATGGCCTAAATATTAATCTCGCTTTTATCTTAAAGTAGGGAGTACAGTCATTTTGTGGAATTTGTTTGCCATTGCTGAAAAAGAGGAAACCGTCAGCAAAGACAGCAGGCTAAGGAAGACATTCCGGTGGAGAGGAAAGCAGTTCAGTGATGAGTAGGAGCTGTTGGGAAGGAGGGGGTGATGGTGTATTGGGCATCTACAATGTGGATAAATCGCTCCTGAGTGTCCCGTCACTGTAAGCTGAAGGACATGGGAGGGATCGGTCCAGAACTGTATTGTCCAGTATAGTAGCCAGTCACCCACACATGGCTGTATAAGCTTAAATTAACCGAAATAAAATAGAAAGTTCTGTTCGTTAGTGACATTTTAAGTACTCCACAGCCACGTGTGGCTAGTAGCACCTGGATTGGACAACACAGATATAGACCATTTTTATCTGCAGAAAGTTCTAAAGGACATTGCTGTCCTAATCAATCACTGGCAAGGTATCTTCCAGCTTTGACGTCCTGTGATTCTTGAGTTCAGGAAGGTAGTAAAAGAGATACCTGAGGAGGCTGCAATAGCAACAGATAGAATGCAAACACCCTAAGAAAGTAATTTAGTAATAGCTTTATAGCACCTTTTCAGCCTTAGCAAAATTGGAGGATTGAAGACTATTAAAGTAAATACAGTAACCTAATCTAAAAAGGCTAAATTATAATCAATGTTTTTCTTTCTGGCTTGGAAATATATTAGCAGTTCATGTACTTGGAACAGTTTTACATCCCTAATTTGAGAATTTTAATGACAGAAATTGTGGCCAGAGGCCCAGCGCATTCAGAGTTACACCATTCAACTGCCATGCCCACTGGGTTTAGGAATAGCCTTCCCAGAACAACCAGGCAGTGACCGAATCTCTTCCTGAAGACAATAGTCAGACATCCTTGCTTTTGTATTGTGCTCGACTAGTTAAACCACCACAGTCAGTTTTGGGTCTCTACTCCCACTGGGAGATGAATCTTAGGCCATTCCTTGTAGCTCCATAAAGATAAACTGGGCTTTTACGTCTTTTGAACATACTTGGTAGAAAATTTTAAAACCTCAAGCTTCACACTCCTACTTGTTTTTATAATAATTATCTGGGCAATATTTTAGGCATTTGAAACAAAAGATTTTTTTAATGGTCCTAAGAGAAAAGTAAAGCATTAAATCTCTAGTATTAAAAATGTCTTATTTTGAAAATAAAGTTAAATGCTTACTGAGTGAAGCTTCCCCCTTTACCTTTTGTCTTGCTGAGACACGTGCACGGGAGTTGTCGGCAGATCCTGACCTTGAATTTAGAGAGGCTTCTGCAGTGGGAAGAAAGATGATCCTGGCTGCCACACCATTAGGGCTCTTAAAGTTGGTAAAGACATTGGGGCGCCTGGGTGGCGCAGTCGGTTAAGCGTCCGACTTCAGCCAGGTCACGATCTTACGGTCCGTGAGTTCGAGCCCCGCGTCAGGCTCTGGGCTGATGGCTCGGAGCCTGGAGCCTGTTTCCGATTCTGTGTCTCCCTCTCTCTCTGCCCCTCCCCCGTTCATGCTCTGTCTCTCTCTGTCCCAAAAATAAACGTTGAAAAAAAAAAATTAAAAAAAAAAAAGTTGGTAAAGACATGACAGACTGGTTTTCCTTTATCCTCTGTATGCTAGAACATTCTATTCAGATAGTTGTGAATACCTGTTAGTACAAAGAATTGTCCTAGTCTTAGAGTTGGATACCTTTAAAGGCTGAGTGAAGACTAGTTTGGAGCACTGACACCATGCTACCCTTTTCTAGGTTTGGTGTTGATTCCAAATTGCCACTGCAGTGTCCACCACCTGATACTGACAGAGGGACCATAAGAGTCCAGGAGAGACAAATGTAAGGGGCCAGAGACAGCCTACAGTGCTGCAGCAAGAGAAGAAAGGCCAGCAGAACCTGGGATAACCCAGGCATAAGGCACAGGAGCGTGAAGTTAGAGGAGATCTGAGTTGCTGGTACCATGAAGAAACGCATTGTCCCAGTAAGTGTGCAGAAGCCTGAAGAGACAGATGGTGAGGGTGCAACCAGTTGGAAGAAGAGCTGTGTTCAAGCCCAAAGTTAGCAGAAGAGAAGTTACCTGCTAGACACTAATCAGAACCACTGGGTCCCTGTGGAGCCACCCGCCACCCTCCATGCGCAGCACCTGATCTAGAGGAGCCCAGGTTCTTGGTTACCTCAGAAGCATGTGCGTTGCTCCTCCCATCTTTTTCAAGAGAGAATGATTGTATTTTATTTTGTTTATAGGGTGTTTTTTTTTTTTTTGAAAGTGGTGAGGATTGTAGTCTGAAGCTTTTGTGAACTGACAAGACAGCTGTGATTGTCCAAGGCCCCTAAACAGAGGTGGGGGGGGGGCAGCTCTCTCAGCCACAGATGGGGGTGGTGGTGAACGGGATTTTGAATGAGGAGCCAGCAGCTTTGAGGGGAGGAAATGGACAAGTGCAGGGGAGGTGGGGTTCCAGGAGGAATGGATGGGCATCAGTGAAAAGGGAGAAATAAGATCAGGGAGAGGGATGGAAGGAAGAGAATAAAAAGGAGCAAGGGTGTAGGGAAAAGAACAAATATCAAATAGGAGATGGTGATAGGAACAAGAGAGTGGCGAGTAATCTAATACTGGCATTGGTCACATTTGAGCCTGGGTGGTACGATACAAGCCATACGAAGGTACATTGAGTCTTAGGAGCACAGTGCATACCATTTATCGACCAGGTCTCCATTCTCTTCCTGAGCATGAAATTATCTATAATCAGAAAGTCCAATAATGAAAACACAACTAGAAAGTTTGAAATACTTGAACAAAACAAGCTGCTCTCCCGTTACTGATCCCACAAGAGAGTTGCTTATACTAAGGTTCTCAGTCTTTCTTACCCAGATTCTCTAGAGCAAGGTTTCTCAGGTTTGTATTGATATTTTCAGCAAGACCGTTCCCTGTGGTACCCTGTCCCCTGCACTGTAGGATTTTCCCTGGCTTCCACCCACAGGATGCTACTAGCACCCCCTACTTGTGACAAGCAAAAAAAAACATAGGTGGGTGAGCAAATGCCCCCTTGAGGGGTCAGATTGCCCCCAGTTGAGAACAGCGGATCTGTAGGAAAATAATCTGATTTCCAGGACTGTTCTTAATCAGACACAGTAAGATTCTACTTAGAGATGGTACATGTGACCAGCTTGCTAGACCCTTTTCCCACCCCTAAAAAATTGATTCCCGCAGAACCTAAAATCTAAACAGCAATCATGCTAAAGAATTAGTCTGCGTTAGAAAGCCATACCTCAGTGTTGAGGACCAGAGGAATCTGCCCTCCAGTGTGACTTGCGTAAAGAGCTTACACTGCATTTAAGAATGCACACTTCCCTCCCTGGCATACGTGTGGTGCTACCCTCTCCTTTACCCCCTGGCCTATCATGAGTAGACTTTCTGATTGAGATCTTCACTGTCCGCTGTAGTAGCCACCAAGTGCATATGCTATGCAACTAAGGAACGCAATCTTAATTTTATTTGATTTTAATTAAATTTTAAAACATAATTCAGTTATTGGAAAACCTTTAGATATATTTAAAGTATATTTGGATATGTGGATCTACTTTTAGCATTTTAAATTTTGTATAATCTCAGTATAGATCAAGTATTTT